CTATAGGGTAGAATATACCTAATCTATCTGTTATGTTATTCTGTTATTTACTTTTCAGTTTTTTTATATTGTTAAGTGTTATGATGTAAACACCAAGGGCAGATATGTCCTTTCATGTAACTAGCATAACATATAAATATTAAATTGAAGTGGCGGCGGCAGATTTATTCAGAATCTGTCCTTCCTTTCAAACCTGTGTTCTACTGCTCTCTCACTAATCTTTCTCCTCTTTCTTCTTCACTTTCTCTTCTGTTCGAACCTGAAATTCCTTAGTGCCCAAGACTGATAGCAGTCTTGATCATCTTCAAATGTTATGCCACTACAGATGTCATTGTATAAACATAATACCAAGCATCAGACACAATCAGAGAGTAGTGAAAGAAGGTCAAAAAGATAATAGGATACAAATCGAAATTATATTTCTATTGACATGGAAGGAAGAGAGGAGGTAGTTCCAGGCCTGGTAGAAGGTAATATAATTTGAGATATTAGAATTAAGAACAGTAAGGAGGATGAGAGTAGGGATTATAAAGGAGGGAAAGGAAGCATGGAAGGTGAGGTGAATGCAGAAAATAGAGATTTGTGTAAACCTGATGAGGTGGGCCACATGAAAGTAATAAAGGTGAGAGAAAATCAATATGAATATGAATATTCTGAGGTTGTGGTTTGCAGCAAGAGAATTCAGGTTAACATGCTGTTAATTAGACGATTCTTTAAGTCCTCTTTCTTGGAGATTGATCAGATTGGTTAGGGTTGGAAATCAATCAGCTAGTGAAGGTGGGGTGGTGAGTTACTGCTCACCTCAGGGATCCCTTGAGGGAGAGATCCGACCTCCTGAAATGGAAGAGAAGGGAAGGGGGAATGGAACAGATAGAATGACCTAATTCTCATGTTGTTTCATTGATAAAAGTGCCATATATAGGCATCACTACGAATCATGCAAAAGGGACATGCTTCTAGAAGAGCTGTAGGCGTGGCCTTCTAGTGTAAAGATATTTTATGGGGTGGGGGGTGTATTGCACCTGAGGCACCGTTGGGTGCTATACCCCCACTCGGGTTCTAGGAATGACCATTTGGGCTTCTGTCCCCGATGATGCATGGGCTTGGGCCTTATCAACTCGACCCCCGTTAAAAACAACCTTGTCCCCGTTAAAAACAACCTTGTCCTCAAGGTTAATGGATGGATATTTTGCCACGGATGCAGAATGAACTTCCCAGGTGGCATCATCAAGATCAGGTGGAAGATGTTTCCAAGCAACCAAGACTTCCTTGACCACCTTCTTTCCAGTCTTGACACAGTGATAGTCTAGTATCTATCAGGGCTCCGGCTATAGTCTAACCTCAGCCCCTCGTTAGTGAACTCAGTTAAGGTGGGGGAAACATGGGTGGATGCTTGGCACACCGTTTCAATAGAGAATTGTTGAAAACAGGGTGCAACTTGGCTGATGGGGGTAAGGCTAGGCGGTAGGCCACAGGCCCGATATGCTTGATGATTTGGAATGGTCCAAAGAGTCTAGGGGCGAACTTGTGCCATTTATGGTGGGCTACTAAGAGATGTCTGTAGGGATGCACTTTAAGGTAGACCATTTCCCCGATCTGGTAAGTGACTTCCCTGTGTTTCCGGTCATATTAGGCCTTCATTTGCTATTGGGCCCAACTCAAGCTCCTTCAGTGAATTAAGGATGTCATCACACTATCAGTTTTTTTTCCACCTCTGCCACAATAGTGGAGCCTAGTGCATATGGAATCAGTATTGGTGTGTTGCGCCCATATAAGACCTTAAACGGGGTGGTTCCTGTCATTACGTGGTAGGTGGAGTTGTACCACAGTTCGGCCTAGGGCAGCCAGTTGACCCACTGCTTGGGCCTCTCTCCCGTGAAACACCAGAGATAAGATCCGAGGCATCTGTTGACAACCTCAGACTGCCCGTCTGTCTACTGGTGGTAGCTGGTTGAGTGTCCAAGCTTAGTGCCTTGTGCCTTGAAATAGTCAGTCCAAAAACGGCTCAAGAATGTTGGGTCCCTGTCGGTAATGATGGAGGGAGTTCCATGTAGTCGAGTCACCTCTTGTACAAAAATCCTTGCCACCTGTGTTCTTGTGTAAGGGGGAGAAAGAGCTGCAAAATGCACATATTTTGTGAGACAATCAACAATGACCATAATAACTGTCTTACTAGATAAAAGTGGGGAGGCTGGTGATGAAGTTCATCGTAATATTTTCCCATACTCGGTTTGGGATGGGTTGCAGAAGGCCCGCTAGGGCCTAGGTGCTAGCCTTAACTATAGGCACACTAGCCACTCAGACACAAACTGCTGAATTTGTTTTTTCATTCTCGGCCAGAAGTAGTGCTGATTAATCCTCCGATAGGTTCTTAGGACATCAGAATGGCCTCCCAAGTAGGGAAGCAAATGGATCAGATCGAATCAGATTCAAATCAGGTAAATCTGAATCCAATCCAACACTGTTAATTGCAGATCCGATTGGATCTGACAGACATGGATCTGAATTCGAATCCGATCAGGAAGTCGGATATTCGGATCTGATCCATTCCAATTTGTTTTCTTTAAAAATTAATAAATTATTAAAAGAAAAATAAAATATGCCAATTTAAATAAAGAAAAACAAAAATACAAGTATTTTTAATTATTTTCATCATATATAGACATGTTTTTATAAAAAAATAAATAGCATAACAAATTTACAAAAATACAATATAAATAACAGCATTGGAACCCCAATTGACCCTAACCACAAGTAGAATGCCACAGATGGAGATGTTCTTCCAAATAGAGAGGTCTATCAAAGATTGGTTGGCTGTCTTCTCTATCTATGTTTGACAAGACCAAATATATCCTATGCAGTCAGTGTGGTTAGCCAGTATATGCATGAGCCCAAAACCTCTCACACGCAAGCTGTCAATAGGATTCTCGCTTACTTGAAAGAGTGTCCTGGCAAAGGAATGTTATACTCCAATCATGGCCATTTGAAGATTGAGACCTACACAGAAACGCCACGAGCCATCATTCTTCTTGACAAGTAAGGCAGGTGCCAAAAATGGGCTAGAACTGGGTTGAATCAGCCCCCTGTCCAATATCTCTGAGACCATCTTTTCTGTTTCAGCCTTTTGAAAGTGGGGATACCGATATAGTTTGACATTGGCTGGTGCGGACCTGGGTAAAATGGAAATGTGGGGGTCCTGGGGTGTGGTCGATCAACAGGTCTAAGGTAAGATCTGGGCCGGATAACTTAGGGCCCATATACAAGAGCATTGGCCCACCATCTGGCTGGCAGTGCTTTAGCAGCAGCCTGGGCTCGGTCTGTTTTGGAGGCCCAGGGAGGTGGTTGTGGAACTTATGGGTGCAGCCCTCTATGGTAAACTCTATGGCCAAGCTGGCCCAATTGCCTCAACCACTACATTCCAAGCATCATGTCTGCTCCCTAGAAGCTCTATGGTGAACTCCCTAGAAGTTTAAGGGGTGTAAATCAACCTTTAATTTGGATCCATGTACTTGCAACTCAACCCCCCAACAGATGGTAGCTACATGGAGTGAAAAGGCCTCCAAGGATTGGATAGGTAGGCCCAATTGTTTGGCCAAGGTTTCAGATATATAGTTCAAGGAGGTCCCGACTCAAGGGGTTTAGACAGTGGTTCGGGTCGAGTGGGGGTCTTTAAGATTGGGCCGGTGGGGCGGTTGAATCGGTGAAGCCGGTTCAGTCTTTTTTCATGGAGTCGAGCCAAACTAGTGGTTGATAGAGCAGTGGTCAGTTGGATGGCCTTTACTTCGATTCTAATGTATTCCCGTAGACCCCCAACGAAACATCCTACCAATGCCTTTTCTAGCCACCCGTAAACACAGGAAGCGAGCATTTCGAATTCATTTTGGAATTCCTTTATTGTACCGGTTTGTTTAAGCTTAGCTAAGCTTTCATCAAAGTCCTCATAGTTGGAAGGCCCAAAACAAGAGCAGATGGCCTTGGCGAAGTCTGTCCATCCGATCTGGGGGTGAGAGCGCCGGTACCATTGGTACAACAGTATAGCTTCCCCCTCTAGATAAATAAAAGCTAAAGATACTCTCTGATGTCCAAGGACATTGTGAATCTCAAAGTATCCCTCAACTCTAAAGAACCAAGAAATGGGGTCATCACCTGAGAAGGAGGGGAAGTCCACCTTGGGAGGTTTACCCGAACCGAACTACGACCTGCGAGCGCTGCCATGGTGGAAACTCTCAGCTTCTTCATCCTTCTGATCGGTCGATGCCGCCTTCTCCAAGTTAGCAATCATCATGGAGATCCCCTCCATCTCCTTAAGGTTTCCCAGCACCTTGCACATATCAGTTTTGAGCTTGTCCATGCACTCCTCAATGGCAGATGACCTAGTAGTTGGCTTGGTGGGTCGTCGCCTTCTTCACTGAGGCTTTGATACCAGTTGGTGAATTACTGCTCACCTCAGGGATCCCTTCGAGGGAGATCTGACCTTCTAAAATGGAAGAGACGGGGAAAAGGGAATGGAACAAGTAGAATGACCTAATTCTCATGTCGTTTCATTGATAAAAGTGCCATATATATAGGCATCATTACAAATCATGCAAAAGGGACGTGCTTTTAGAAGGGTTGTTGATGTGGCCTTCTGGTGTAAAGACATTTTATGGGGGGACGTATTGCACCTGAGGCACTGTTGGGTCCTATACCCCCACTCGGGTCCTGGGAGTGACCATTTGGGCTTCTGTCCGCCGATGGTGCATGGACTTGGTTCTAATCAGAAGATGTTGGAAGTTTCTTTTGGTTTTCATGTGTTAGTTAATGTTTGAGTGTTTCCCCCAACAATCTCTCATTATTATCTGCTCCCCATCACAAATGTTAGTCCCAGATATCTAAGGTCTTTGTCATAACCATTTTCATTTTTGATGAATTTCATTTTTATCCATTATCAAAAACAAAAAGCAGATGCATGAAAAACAGATAAGCACCCAATAATAGAGATAATGTTTTGCTACACTTACCTTCATTTTCCTCCTCGAGAGCAGCATATTGTTCTTGTTGTGTCTTAAATAGCATGCCTCTTAAAGCAGTCTTTTTTGATATCTGGTCTTGTAGTTTCCGCAAATCTGCTAGTGTTGTTTCTGTGTGATGTATCTTAGTCTCAACATTCTCAATGTTCCTTTCAAGTTCCTGTATTTGAGATTTCAGATTTTCTGCCTTTTCTTGATTTTGAGCAATATTTTCTCGAAGCTGCAAGAACACCACCAAAGAGGAGTGGAAATAAATGCTTTGAGTATAGCTTCATAACAACTTCATTTGGAACTACATGATTACACCGGTAGAGTTCAATGGAATTAAGTAAAACAACCACAGAGATCTAGATGCAACAAACAAATGAGGAATCTACAGTTCCCAGAAGCTAAGTGAAACAAGCATAGAGGATGACTCGTTCACTCCAGAAGCCAAGGCACAGGATTGTCTAATATAATGCCATATATAGACCATAGACCTACTAGATCTATTTCACATGTACATGTAATAGGGATCATTCACAAGGTCTTGGAGTACATAATAGGCACAATGAGAACCAAAATAGCAACTACAAGATTGATTTGATGATCTAAAAATGAAGCAGAGCCCAGATTATGGGAGTTTCCATAGAGCCTTGATGGGGTGTGACTGGATGCAAAGGATAAATACAGTACTAGTTTCTCTTCTGTGACTACTTCTCACCAGGTAAACCTCCAAGAAACACTAATTCTATTCACATTCATAATTTCCAAACACTAATTCCTTTAAAATTTCAACTCTTAACCTAATTCATGAAACCCTAGGAAGTAGGAAATACCATTAGAAGCCTTGTTTCCTCTAAAAGCTATGTATCAATATTCATTTTCAGATGAGGGAGGAGTTTTGACAAATCTTTATTTCTGGGTCAAACAAGGTAAGTGAAACTCCAGTTTGCAAGGTAGGAAGATTAATAGTGGTGAAAACAATCTCAAAGTGTCTGGGAAAGAGAGGTCATCCTTCACAAGCTTCTTATAGGGAATTTCAATAATACCAATCTCATTGCAGAAGAGATGCATATATTTAAGTTATTTTTATCACCAATAAGTTCTAACGCAGATCCATATCCAATACTATTAACAATGTAAAACCCATGTTTTTTAAAAGAGTAAAATAAAACCGTTCTTCCATCACTATATGGATCAAATGGGTTAACCCATGAAGTCATAGTTAAATAATAAAACTCTAAAATAGATATAAATAAAAAATTACAAAAACTATCATACCTGGGTATCTGTACATACCTAGCATACTGGTGTCAGATATGACACTTATACTGGATACTACATGGATTCTTCTAGGTGCTCTATAGCATTAAAAGTTTTAAAATATGTAAGTTTGTATGTTTAACAAATTAAATTATACTATAAAATAATGTACAAGTTAAAGATTTAATTACAGATGTGAAGACATATTGCTTTAAAAATGATATTTAGCTCCAAAAGGTAACACATCATATAAGCATATTACATGGGATACCCATACCTGTATCCATGTCAGGATTATTTAGGAAATGGAGAATCAAATTCCTGTTTCCTGTATATATATATATATATATAATATATATATATATATATATCCAGGCCAAATAAGAGCCAGAGGGAGGATTGTTGCAGTTCTTTCGTGATGAAGCTGGTCTGTATTCTGTGGAATTGCAATTCGTCCAGGTTTCAGTGCACTTCAGGTTTTGTTTATCTTATTGTTCGTTCTCCCCCCACCCCTGAAAAGAAAGAAGGATACTATTGCTTGTTTGCATTCTCGTTTCATTCTCCCTCCTCTTTATACATTTCATGTTCTCATGATCTTCACTTAGAAAGTGTTGTTTATTTTATATGTGATGCTGCGCGATCCGGGGAGCTAACCCGGCGGGAACACTCCGATGCCATAGTAGGTCGGCCGATCACCCATGCCCTACTTGCGAGACTCAAGCTGGTCACCCCGCGCTATCCCGATTCCGAAGTCTGTGGGGAACTTCATTGCCAGATAATAAGTGGAGACCACAACACGTAGGGCATGGGTGATCGGCCGACCTACTATGGCATTGTACGGGAAGGGGGTTGCGACCACTAAGAAGTCGTGGTTGAGCCTCACTATGCTAGGCCAAGTGCCGACTTCCACAGGTATTGTAGTCCTTCCTAGGGGCCTGACTTCCTCTCCGCTGAAACTTACCAGGGAGTATTTGTGGGCTTCAAGTCGCTTTCTTGGAGCTGGAGCTAGTCGAATGCTGCTTTGAAAACTGTAGAGAACAATGATGTGAGCCCCACAGCTACGGTTCCACTGTGTTCGTAGGGTAGAAGGTGTTCTTGAAGGGATGGGATATCCATCACATGGACGCCCAAGTCTTGCGGAATGGATAGGGCGAATTTCAAAAATTTGTCCCATCTTTGCAGGGAATCGAATTCCCTATATTTAGAAAAACATGTTTTTCAAGGATCAATCTTGAATCAAGAACCAAACCAGATCTGAACCAAAAGGAGTAGGAGGGAGGATGTACCTGATACAGAGAAACAATATCTCCCAATGGAGGTGTTCACGCCCAAG